AAGAGAGCGTATTTTGAAAATAATTAAAATTATTGTTTCAATTTGATTGAATTTATAAATTTGTATCCAAATGAAGTCGGAACATTTGAACTGGATCAAGTTAATCGAACAAGAACATCATAAATCACAAAAAACTTCAACTGACCTGTACTAACGTACTGTGTAGTCGGTAGAGTGGTACTACATCAAAAGGTTCTACGAACTTCCTCTGATTTTTCTGAGCCACAAAAGCACAAACAAAGTCCGATCTCCCTCTCCATCCTTACTTGACACGTGTAATTCAATAACTGGTGCAATCTTATTCCCTCTTCCACGCCAGCACCTCCACAACAACACCATCCAAATTTCAACCATTGATAACAAAAGCATAAAGAAAAACTTCAACTGAGTGGTTTAGTGCTTGAGGAGCCACTAAATTATGCAATGGAGACCCTTCACGCAGTTGGAATAACCCCACTTTCTGTTCTTGCTAAAAGAAATAAACCAAGAAAAAATTCATCACTTGCCTCAATTCCACCACTGAAGAACCAAAATCTTGCCATTTCTTTATCAAGAAATCTTGAAGGGGGATTAGTCCTTTTATCTACGGTTCTCGATTTCGGGTTAGCAAAAGCATTAACGTACGATGAAGCTTTACAGCAATCAGCGACCAGTTCTTCCACCACTGATTTTGATCCAAGTGGAGTATTTGATAGTGTGATCAATTTTGTTGTGGATAATCCTTTAATTGTTGGTGGTGGTGCGGTGATCTTGGCGGTGCCGTTAGTGGTGGCTCAGTTGTTGAGCAAGCCTAAGCCATGGGGAGTGGAGAGTGCTAAGACTGCTTATACAAAACTGGCTGATGACTCCAATACTCAGTTGCTTGATATAAGAGCACCAGGGGAGTTGAGGCAAGTCGGGAGCCCAGATGTCCGGGGCTTGAAGAAGAAGCCGGTGGCGGTTGTATACAAAGGCGAAGATAAGCCTGGGTTCTTGAAAAAACTGGCATTGAAATTCAAAGAACCTGAAAATACCACACTGTTCATTCTGGACAAGTAAGATTTTGAACCTACTCTCTGTATTTTGTTTATTATTCATAGAGTTATTCTCGTTTTCTTGAGTTAATCTTTGTCTTTTATAGAAGATTATAGTCTAATTCACCTTATGAAACATGCTATGCACATAATGCCATGTTATGACCATAGGTTATAAGGTATCCCATTTTTGCTGTAACTGATTTTCGTTTATCAGCAAACCCAGTCCGTGAATTATGGAGTTGCATTCGATGGTTTCTTGATCAAAGTATTATTATGCATTATTCTGTTCTGTAAGCGTTAAGAGTTTTATGGGCACGGTGAGGTTAAGTTACCGAGTTGGTGTAGAACACGAATTCTAGAACCATATCTGGTTAATGGATTCATTGGAGTTGTGTTAGTTATTATTGTTGCCCCTTAATGTTAATCTACAATCTCAACCCCGGATTCTCTCTTAGCAAGACAAAGATCTTGTTTGTAATATTTACGAATTACATCCAATCTTATGTATGAATTGTAATGAAGCCAGATATGATGGCAATTCCGAGCTTGTTGCAGAGCTGGTAACAGCCAATGGCTTCAAAGCTTCTTATGCTATTAAAGATGGTGCAGAAGGACCACGAGGATGGATGGTTACTTCTTGCCTTATATATTCTACTTTTGCCTTTTGAAACAGCACTTATATGTGATTAGAGTTTAGCTGAGTTATGAGTTTCAAACTTACTATATGTGCAAATGTGTGCAGAATAGTGGCCTTCCTTGGATACTTCCAAAGAAGACATTGAGCCTAGACATAAGCGATTTTGCAGACGCAATCAGTGATGCTTTGGGGGTAAACTAAATTTATCGAGTGTGCAACACGTTCCTAACTCCAGATAACTTATTCTGCAAATTACGAAGAAATTTCTACATATTGTTTTATGTTTCTCTGTCTTATTTCCGGTGCTTTTCCTCCAATATCAGCCTCTGTATATGTTCTTAGCAGTTGAAATTACATCTTTCATTATATTCTCCGAGGCATTTATTTGAGGCGCTGTTGGATGGATTTGCAGGAGACTTCTGATGCTACGTCTTTGACCCTTGGTGTTGTTGCTGCTGCCGGTCTAGGATTACTGGCCTTTACAGAGGTCATGAATCTTGCCCGAATTTTATTTTTACAGAAAATGAAAGGATTACCTAATACTTTTTTATTTATTTTTCAGGTGGAAACAATTCTCCAACTTTTAGGATCTGCTGCTCTCATCCAGTTCGTTAGCAAGAAATTCCTGTTTGCAGAGGTTTGTTATGTACTTTCTATTACAATTATCTTATTTTGAAAGTCGAGAATCCAAAGTTTGCTCCTTTGTATGTCAATTTGTTGTCTTGTTTCTCGTTATGTCATTTCATATAACTATTTTCTTATGCGAAGTTCCACAATTCTCCTTGCAGGATAGGAAGCAAACTCTACAACAAGTTGAGGAGATCTTAAACACGAAAGTTGCCCCTAAAGAGCTTGTGGGTGATATACAGGTAAAATGACACTTTTGATCGTTAAATTCAGTGCTTTTGGTATTCATTTGACTGTTTATTTACTCCACGACTGGGAAATTCAGCAAATTGGTAAGGCCATTCTACCATTGACTGCGAGTACCAAGGCTCTGCCCGCCCCTGTAGAGGCAAATCCTGCTCCCGCTGATACTAGCGTTCAGAAATCTGAGTCCATCCCCGAGGTAAACAATGCTCCACCCAAAGTCGAATCAGCTCCCGAGCCCACTACAGAAGTCAATTCAGTTCCCAAAATAGAAGTTCAAGAAAAATCCCTTCCTGGAATTTCTAGGCCACTTTCACCATATCCTAATGTGAGTCAATGCAACGTACATGTTTATTACATTCTTATGATGCTCTCATACTACATTCGTAACTTTTGAATTGATAAGGTGGATTAGACAGTATTAACAATCAAAGAGAAACTATTGACTAGTACTACGTGCGAAACATGCCTAATGCTTAAGTTCATTAATATATTTACTTTCTTGATTGCAGTACCCAGATTACAAACCACCATCCTCGCCTATACCATCACAACCATAGAGATTGGACGACTTTAATGGGATATCCGAGCAATTACCTATTTGGCTGGAAATCACATAATTATGTTACCAGAATAGTAGAAATATATAATCCTCTCGTACGAGGTTTTTGGGCTTACACATGTTGTATTATGAGGAATCTTAATGGTCGACAGTAGGATGCTTCCTAGTTTGATGTTGGTTATCTAATTCTTTGTATGTTGGAGTGCAGTGTAGAAAATAAGAATACTGTATCAGTTGTATCTGAATTATTTCTAATTTTCTATAATGTGATCATTTTATTATGTTTGTTAATTATCTGAAGTAACAAAATAAACATTTTTTTTTTCTCGAGGTTGAACGAGAATAAAAATTGGATATGGGCCAAGGCTCTTTCACTACTTTAATTGAATCGGACGACCCTCAACTCTTGGGACATTACATTTTTATTTGTAGAAATTGTTAAGAAATATAGGGTTATTTTATTTTATTGTTTATTAATGGTAGAGTAGTATTTTCAATTTCCTTTATTTAGCATATATAGTCTCTTTGTTTCTAGGTTAAATCATTCCTTTGTATTCAATTGCATTATGCATAATTAATGAAACCCTAGTTTCCTTTTTCTTTTCTTTATTTTCTTTGGATTGTTTAACATGGTATTAGGGCTGTTTCAATCCTAAACAAATTAATTTTAGAATTTCGTTTTGGGCGAGCGATCGTAAGCCGCTTGTCCTGCTACCAATGTTTTTCTTTGCATCTCATCCAGCAATTCTGCATCTTCCTTCCGAATTGTTTTATGACGGGGAATTGATCTCGTGCTACGAGGAGAGCACGAGTTTTTCCACATCTCGGGAAAATCTCCTCCCAAAGGAGGAGTTCCCTTTGCTTTTTGTCGATATTCAAGGTTGTAACGAGAGGGAAGGGAGCAATCCATCATGGTTTAACAGAATTGAAGCTAGCAAGGTAGTTGAGATTATTAAGGACCTAAAAGAGCATGATGGGCTGAAGGAAGAAGATATTGGGGTTAAAACAAATTTTTCATTATCAGTCATCTGAAGCTCTGTGGGGTAGGGGTTATGATGGAAATAATTATCAGCCATCTGCTTTGCCATAGGATAAGCCAGATCTGAGCTACTCAATGTGGTCCCAATTGAGCACCTCACTAGACCCTCCACAGAGTTCCGCGAAATGGTGATGTGGTTGGAAGAAACCTCACCCTGGATGAAGTCAATCATATCCTACCTGAATGACCAAACCATCCTGCCTTTAGGAAAAGAAGAGGCCTAGAAACTCAGAAGAAGAGCAGCCCTCTTCGTCTTACAGGACGATGTCCTGTACAAATGTGGCTTTTCAATGCCCCTACTAAGGTGCATCTGAGGAGAACAAACAGACTACGTGGTTAGAGAAATCCACGAAGGTGTTAGCGGCAATCATGTCGGAGGCTGGTCTTTAGCACAAAAAGCTCTCAGACAAGGATACTACTGGCCCATCTTGAAAAAGGATGCGCAGCAGTTTATCCAAAAATGCGACAAATGTCAGCATTTTGCCACAATCCAGAGACAACCCTCACAAGAGTTAAATGTAGTGTCTAGCCCCTGGTCGTTTGCAAAGTGGGGGGTCGACCTAATTGGACCTCTTCCCAAGGGGAAAGGAAGTTCTAGTTTCGCGATTGTTGCAGTTGATTACTTCACGAAGTGGGTAGAGGCCGAACCTCTTGCAAAAATAACTGAAGCAAATACTTCTAAGTTCCTCTAGAAAAACATCATTTGCAGGTTCGGAATCCCTCATTCGATCGTAATAGATAATGGCAAACAATTCGATAACAAGAAAGTCA